TGGGATTCGTTTGACCTCACGGCCTTATATTGAGCAGCTGCGGCATTAGAGGAATCGTCTGTAACCGTCTTACACAGCTGTTTGCTCTGCTGATGCTCTTATAGAGGAGAAAACTCATTAAGGGTTGTCTAATGTGGATAGCTGTGTTTGAGATAAACACAATGTGCTGGTGGTGTTTTTCTTGCATTGTTGATTTGGTAGTAAAGCTGTCACTAAGGCGGCACCGTTTCAAAAGGTACAATTTCCTTTTAGGTACTAATATGCAGCCTTTAGGGATAAAAGTGTATCGTTTGATAAGGTACTGCACCAGTGATAGTTTTTGTAATGTTTTTTTTCTGAGAGCGTAGTCAAAAGGAATGAATGAAACTCAAAATTTGCCGATAAATTCTGACTTGATGAGCCACATTTGAGGGCCCTTTCACTCCTACCTTGTTTGGTTTGGACTTTCTGACTTTTCAGTTTGGTCCGAATCAAAATGTAATGTAGATGTGATTTAGGATAGCATGGCCTGATGTTCTGTAAGGTCATAGATGCAGTAAATCTTTAGTGTTCAGTAGACTAGAAAACACATCTACTGTTCATCTGTAGCAGTCTGTCCTGATCCTGCAGCTTACGGCTCAAATCAAATCTCCTCTCTGCCCGTGTCCTACAGGACGTCTCCGGCTCTGTGTTCGCTTGCTTAACCTCTTAACTGTCACCCCCCTTTTTTGAATAGACATGAAAATGCACATTTCGAACTTAAATGGTTGTAATTCAAGAATGCTTTGGAATATAGACATATGATTGGTCTTGTTTTAAAGAAGACATTTGGCAGATTTTTGTAGAAGTGAAATAAATTAAAAAAGTGAAACAGAAAAAAAAGTTATAGAAGTTTGAGTTTATGGAAATGTACAATGTAAAAATATTAATTATTCATATTTTACATAAAATATATATTTTCAAAACCTGGGCTACTCTAAAACGGCAGAAAGATCAAAGCCAAAAATCTGAACAATTGTGTTTCAAATTTTAGGTTGATATCTCAAAAAATGAGCTTTCAGTAAGATTTTGTTTGAGCGCAGTACCAAACTTTTTCACTAGGGCACAATCAGACTCCATTACTGCCCATATAAGGGCGCCTGCATTTCCATTCGTGTTTTGAGTGATATGAACCATTATTTTCACAATTTTCATATAATTTCTGAAGTAGAGATCCTATTCAGAAGTAGTATGGGAAGTTTGGCAGATTTTGAAATGAATTGAACCTCTAAGAAACACATACAAAGAACACGCATGTAAGTCATAGCTAGCTGCCACGTCACAAATGGTGAATTTATTATTTTTTTCTTGATATTTCAAAATTTTCAGACCTTTTTTTCCAAAATAATTGAATGGATTCTATCTTTTGAACTTTTGGCATGAAAACAAACTGAGGTTTCTACCATTTTTTCATGTTTTTTTCATGTTTACTGCTATTTTAAAATAAAGGTCTGAACACGCCTTATGAGTATGAAAATATTCTTGTTGCATATTGATAAATTATGGCTTCTCTGTAATATATTTTGAAAATCAGTCACCAAATATGGAAACTAGAGATTGTAAGCTTTCAAATGATATATAGTTTGCCAATATTACTAAAGGTATTTACTAAGATATTATTGTTTTAAAAATATAGTGGCAAACGTCCCACCTGTGGGACGGTGACAGTAAGTGTTTGTCCTAGTGAGCAGAAGTGCATTTTCATTTAGGTAAAATAACAACTGTCAAATGTGGATTTTTTTTGTTTGTTTAGTTTAGTTTGGATGCATTCAATTAATCAAACAATTTTAATTTCATAATCAAATTTAGCACGGTTTCCACAAAAATATTAACCCTCAGAGGTCAACAAACGCGCCACCGCATTTTACTGTGTTTTTTTTTTTTTTTGTTTTTGTTTTTTTATTTTGTTTTTTTTTCACATAGCTGCAGCATAGACTTAATCAATACATGATTATAAACTATAGAGGGTCTTCTTTTTGTGTGTGTGTGTTTTGTGGCCTTATTTCAGACTACTTTAATTTTTAGTTTTTTCAATAGCCACGCATAAACAATATTCTCTACATGCACATACATGTTGCTCTCATATTATGGTAGCCCTGTTTGTGCTAAAGAGCCATTAATGTGTTTATAAGCAACTGAAAAAAGCACAAATGTCGGTTGATGGTGTTGGGATGTTTATTTTCACTCAGTCCTACAACATTACACTTACTTATGGTTGGCTTCCTTCTGGTTGTTTCTGCATATTAAACTGAAACGGAAATGATATTTAAAAAATACACAGTTCACTATAGGAAAACTATAGGAAGACATTGTTAACTGGTGATTTGTTATATAATGGCAGGCACCACACTGAGCAATCTATCATTCTGAGCTAAAATATGTTTTTGACTGAATAGTTCAATCAATGAAACTGTGTAGGTTATGAGCTAGTGCTGCATTTCTATCTCATAATGCCGCTTTTCTCCACTGCCTCATTTTCATGTGTGTCAGATTAAATATGCCATCCACTGTGACCAAAGTTTTAGTCTGTCGTCAGTCTGTCTGTCCATCTGTTGATTTAGTAAAGCTCACTTGCATTATTAATGTCTCCAGTCACATTAAGCAGCAATTTTTCAGCAGCTGATTATAAGCAGATTGTATCTGTTGGCCCTGATGAGAAACGCTCCATCTCTCCATTACAATGACGGAGTCAGAGCTCAGAGCAGCCGTCCTGCAGATCTGTGCCGTGACGCTCAGTGGCGTCGAGCTCACACTGTTTATCTTAGTCAATCAGAAATTCATTCGGCTCGTATTGCGCCGCCCCGCTCGAGATTAGAGGATGATTAATAAGGGTTCTGATGCGTTTACACAGCCAGAGCCTTTTAAGATGACTTACAATTCAGTCGCTGATATCCAGTCGTGCTAATGAGATGTCAAACATCTGACAGACGCTCACACATGAGGGGTCAGACGTTAACATCGCTGCTTGGTCTTTCATGTTGGAAATTAATAACGAGAAACTTGTCAGATCTAGTTCAGCTGGTGACTTTTGACACTTGATGTTGAAGCATTGGCTGATATTTCTTTGCTGCTGTCACATGACCGTTTGATAATATATATATGTATACATACACTCACCTAAAGGATTATTAGGAACACCATAATAATACTTAGTTTGACCACCTTCCGCCTTCAGAACTGCCTTAATTGTACGTGGCATTGATTCAACAAGGTGCTGAAAGCGTTCTTTAGAAATGTTGGGCCATATTGATAGGATAGCATCTTGCAGTTGATGGAGATTTGTGGGATGCACATCCAGGGCACGAAGCTCCCATTCCACCACATCCCAAAGATGCTCTATTGGGTTGAGATCTGGTGACTGTGGCGGCCATTTTAGTACAGTCAACTCATTGACATGTTCAAGAAACCAATTTGAAATGATTCCAGCTTTGTGACATGGTTCATTATCCTGATGGAAGTAGCCATCAGAGGATGGGGACATGGTGGCCATAAAGGGATGGACATGGTCAGAAACAATGCTCAGGTAGGCCGTGGCATTTAAACGATGCCCAATTGGCACTAAGGGGCCTAAAGTGTGCCAAGAAAACATCCCCCACACCATTACACCACCACCACCAGCCTGCACAGTGGTAACAAGGCATGATGGATCCATGTTCTCATTCTGCTTACGCCAAATTCTGACTCTACCATCTGAAATCGAGACTCATCAGACCAGGCAACATTTTTCCAGTCTTCAACTGTCCAATTTTGGTGATCTCTTGCTAATTGTAGCCTGTTTTTCCTATTTGTAGTGGAGATGAGTGGTACCCGGTGGGGTCTTCTGCTGTTGTAGCCCATCCGCCTCAAGGTTGTGCGTGTTGTGTCTTCACAAATGCTTTGCTGCATACCTCGGTTGTAACGAGTGGTTATTTCAGTCAAAGTTGCTCTTCTATCAGCTTGAATCAGTCGGCCCATTCTCCTCTGACCTCTCGCATCAACAAGGCATTTTGGCCCACAGGACTGCCGCATACTGGATGTTTTCCCCTTTTCACACCATTCTTTGTAATGGTTGTGTGTGAAAATCCCAGTAACTGAGCAGATTGGGAAATACTCGGTATATATGTATATAACTAAACTCATCTTCCTTTTCAGCTGCCATCATCTAATATTAATTGTCTTTGATTTTAATAAAAATTATTTGTATTTTATTTATGTTGTAGGAAATTGCTGTATATATTGTATTTTTATTCAATGGTTTAATTTCTTGACGTATGATCCTGGTCTTTTGCATGTTATTTAAAAGTTGTGTATGTATTTATACTATTCATGTCGTGCATCTTGAGACTGCTACATTCTGTTAGGCATTAGTAATTAATTTGCGAAATGTAGAGAGCAGTGAGGATTTACTGAACTACTCACAACATGTCACATTACAGACGTGAAATGTTCTCTTTGACGTCCGCTGCTTTGAGTCTGTTCATCTTGATTTGATTGCAAAGTGATTTTGCAGTGTGATTTGACTCTGCCTGTTCTGGTCTTCTAACACATTTCCATTTTCTCCTTTTCATTCTTTCTTTTCATTTTTTTTTTTTTCGTCTTCAGCAGTGACACAGCTAGAGAAGTAGATAAAGATTTCTTGTTCTCTCTCATAGTTCATTAGTGACGGCCTTTATTGAACAAAGCGTCTTTAAGTCTCTCTAATATCCTCCTAATGTCGTCTCAGTGTGGCGGAGTTAAAGACCTGTGATTAAGTTTATCATCTGAAGTTTATGTGCTTCCTCGCCTGAAGCTGAATGCTGTTGTAGTTCTGCGTCTCGATGTGCGAGGGATCGCATCAGGAATGACATTATTCTGAGTTTAACTAGCTGTTTTAATGCTTCATATTCTACAGGCTGTTGTTAAGAACAAACACGCTCATTTAAATATGATGATAAATTAAAATGAATGAATAGATCATAACCATGGTCCATAGATCAGTGGCTGACATGGTTTTCTCATTTCAGAGTCTTCCTGCGAGCCATCAATCAGTACGCCGCCGTTCTCAGCAAGAAGTTCCTCGATCAAACCAACTTTGAGCTGCAGGTGAGACTTAAAGTTCAACAAATCTCTTTGACTGTGTTGCTTGACTGTGTTCACTGTCATTGTATGCTTAATCTCCTTTTGTGTTCATTGCCGGAAAGAATTAGAACATACATTTATAATGCATTTTAGACTTGTATAGTGCTACCAAAAACACTGATAATAACATAAAGGCCTGGTTTAGGACATTTAGGTAGCTTTTATAAACGTGCCTTAGGAGGAAAAAAAAACATTACTGGTGTGTGTCCTGAGACATAACAATGGCACTGACATATTTGAAGACTTTCTCTTAAAACAGCTCAAACATATTATTCTTGGACTAGTCTTAAAGGAGTAGTTCACTTTTAAAAAAAAACTTTTGCTGATAATTTACTCACCCCCATGTCATCCAAGATGTCCATGTCTTTCTTTCTTCAGTCGAAAAGAAATTAAGGTTTTTGATGAAAACATTCCAGGATTTTTCTCCATATAATGGACTTCAATGGGAACCAAATGGTTCAAGGTCCAAATGAGAGTTTCAGTGCAAACTGCAAACTGTTCAAAGTGCTTTAAACGATTCCAGACGATGACTAAAGGTCTTATCAAGCGAAACGATCACTCATTTAAAAAAATAAATAAAAAAGTTTAAGTTTTATAAGCACAAATGCTCGCCTTGCTCTGTTCTGTGATGCGCGTTCGTGACTCTCCTGTTCGAACTCGTTCATCAAAATGAACGAATCTTTTTTCAAATCATTTGTTTCCTACAATGAACAAAATGACTCGAAAAAAGATTTGTTAATTTTGATAAACGAGTATTTATTTTTGAAATGAGCGATCGTTTCGCTAGAAAAGACCCTTATTCATCGTCTGGTGTCGTTTAAAGCTCTTTGAAGCTGCACTGAAACTCTCGTTTGGACCTTGAACGGTTTGGTTCCCATTGAAGTCCATTATATGGAGAAAAATCCTGGAATGTTTTCATCAAAAACCTTAATTTCTTTTCAACTGAAGAAAGAAAGACATCTTGGATGACATGGGGGTGAGTAAAAAGTGAACTACTCCTTTAAGCTTTGTCTGTGAAACCGGAGGATGGTCTTGTTTATGAAAAGCACACCTTTTAATCGTGACTATCTGCCCGCTTGTGTCAGAGGAAGTTCCAGCAGGGATCATTAAATTTCTTTCTACCAGAATAACTCATGACAGGCTAATGGCCTGCAATTTCCGAGCATCTGATTTGAATATTTTTCAGCCGCTCTTCTCTGATCATTGTGTTCGTGTTGCTTTTCGCTGGTTGTTTGCTCATGGTTATTCTTAATCTCAGTCCTCATTTTACCCGTGAAACCATCTGGCGATGCGCACTTTGGCTTTCAGAAGCCAATGAATTATTTTAGAAATGATTGTGTGAGTGGCATCAGCTCTTCTGCTTAATTAGCTGTGTGCACTGTGACTATTGCTCATACTTCAGATCCTTCACAAGAACTATTAATCTAGTTTGTGCTACATTTGTGCTACAGTCATGAATGATCATCTCATTTGTAGATGTCTAATTGAAAGGATTTTCTAATTCTATTCTAATATGTAATGATATGCTATATTAAAGGCTCCTAAGTTGGTTCTGTAGGTCTCCTTCAACAGGTTCACATGCATCCAAGGTAAAAAAATAACCAAGGTAATATAATATACATAGCAGCATTACCTTTTTCTTACGGTGTTTAAACAGTCTTCCTAAACCCCCTCCTTTTTGAGTGCTTCCTCTTCTCTGATTGGTCAGATGGTCTTGTCTGTTGTGATTAGTCGACCACTTACAGCACATGTTGGAAATTAAACACCCTTAAACGAGTAGTTCACTTTAAAAAAAATAATTGCTGATAATTTACTCACCCCCATGTCATCCAAGATGTCCATGTCTTTCTTGAGTGGAAACGAAATTAAGGTTTTTGATGAAAACATTCCAGGATTTTTCTCCATATAATGGACTTCAATGGGAACCAAGCGGTTCAAGGTCCAAAAGAGAGTTTCAGTGCAAACTACAAACTGTTCAAAGTGCTTTAAACGATTCCAGACGATGAATAAGTGTCTTATCAAGCGAAACGATCGCTTATTTAATTTTTTTTTTTTTACAAAGTTTAAGTTTTATAAGCACAAATGCTCGCCTTGCTCTGTTCTGTGATGTGAGTTCGTGACTCTCCTGTTCAAACTTATTCATCAAAATGAACAAATCTTTTTTCGAGCCGTTTGGTTCAGTCAATGAACAAAATGAACAAATTGACTCGGAAAAAGATTTCTTTATTTTGATGAACGAGTTCACACAGGAGAGATTTAAATGACCGATTGTTTCGCTTGATAAGACCCTTATTCATCATCTAGGATCGTTTAAAGCCCTTTGAACAGTTTGCAGTTTGTACTGAAAAATCCTGGAATGTTTTCATCAAAAACCTTAATTTCTTT